GTTGGCTAAAAACTCTGATTCCAAACCAACCAAGAAGAGGCGTACGAACCACACACATCTCGGTTGTGGTAGTGATTTCGATTGGGCATCGAGATGCATTGGGCACATTGGACGTTCGATTCCGTCCAAAAGCCGTATGACCCGATGAAGTGGATACCGGACCCAATGGATTGCGGTTTTCGCACACCGCCCCACTGCCTTGCAGGTCAGGCTTTGGCTAGCCAAAGGCTGCGGTTTTAGATTCCACAAGAGAATTAATCTGCCTTGGCCTGGACAACCTGGCAGTATTCCGCCGACATGCAATTCATGGAACGCTTTTCTTTTCCATAAAGATGATCATACCATGATTTGTTTGGCACGCAGTCTGGATTCAGACGTGTGTAAAAAATAAATAATAAATAAACGAACGCCAAAGGTGCATCCGTGCATTTTATGTTGAAGAAAACGAGCTGTAGCGAGTATTACGACTAACAACAAAATTAAGTACTGGTTGACTCATCCTTATATTGACAATATAGATAGATGCTGGAAACGACTGAAGATGGGGGAGCCAAACTTGTGCGTTGGATGAACTGCTAGATCAAAGCATTTACACAGTTTCTACAAGACTGCGACCAAAATGTGAGGTAGATCACTTACAAGTGTGACGCGTTTGCATTTTTATCTTCGAATCAATTTTGCTCGCAAGCTCAGACCATTCCGAATACGAATAGGGATTCACGAGGACTCTGGCGGAGGATACAACATCGCTACAGTTTGCCATCTCGGCCGATTTGACCGAAACCTATGACCGAAATGTGAGTTATCGTCACAACGCGATTTCCCCTTGTTACTGCTCATCCCACTCAGAGTGAGTGTTAAAAGAATGGCATTCATGTGTGTGTATTGCTCTATTCGGTCACACAGAACAAGGAATAAGATACAATACACAAGCAACAAATCGTCTAGACGCAGATTTTAGATTACCTCCGCGCCTAGAATGTACCTTCACGAGGTATGACAGCTTGTGTCTGGGTTACGGAACGAACTATACAAGATGACTTTCACAGGCGCAAACCTGATCATCACAGAAAAGTCATTGAGTGGAGGCCGGGTGAAGCTGCCTTACAAAGACAGCACGTTGAACAAAAGCTCAGTTTTTGTTTGACCTTCCAGCATCACTCGTAGAAAGATCATTCCGCTACATAAACACGGTAAAGAGAAACCTACTGTTAAAAATACTCAGTGGAAGCGGGCTACCTGAAGCTTCCGCCACATTGGACAGATGCCACCAACGAAGGCAGGGCGGCCTTCAATCAAGGCACTGCTCGTTCGACGGAATGCATGAGACTAAGAGCTAGTAATGAACAGCAAACCGATAACCAACGCACGAGCCAACAAGAAGATAAACCGAAATCTGAAGGCCTTACGCAACAAACATGCAGCTCTCATATGGAGTTTCGACCACGTCCTTGAGCTGGAATCATGCACCACTATCTCGTAGATCAAACAGAATTAAACGTTTGTTTCGAGGTTCCCTTCGAATTTCACTCCATACAGCTATTTACCTGGCACTGTCGTGCTGCAGTTTCGGTTGCTGTTTTCGGCAGCCAATTTAGATGGAGAACTGCAAAGCTGGAAGTAGTATCAACGTAAAGGTTCAGTTTCAGTTTGAACAACCATTAACCATGCACTTTCGTGCGCCGGTTTTGGTTGCTGTGTTTTGGCTGCCTATTCGGAGGAAGAACAGGAAAGTTGAAGGTAGAGTCGAAGAGAAAATTGAGAACTCCAGTAAACTGCAGAGAAATTGAGATGCAACAACGCCACTGTTTATGACACCCGGCCATATCATTCAGTGTCCCTAACCATCGGGTACGACCTTCTCAAGGTCCCCATCCGGGGAGTCTAACGAGACCCATGTGACCCAGTCCCCTGGTTAGGGTTTTCATACCCTCGTGTCAGGTCTTAGCTTGGCCACCCTTGACCTCCTTCCACCCACTACTTGCCTCGGGGAACATCGCTCACCGTGGCAATCTATCAGGCGACCAGCGTAACAAATGCCCCAACCAACGTAATCTATGGAGGTCGACCACTTGCTCCAGTGGGCGACTGCGGATACCCAAAACTCTGCGCCTAACCTCAATATTGTTCGTCCGGCTGCCCCACCAGATTCGTGCAATGCTGCCTGTTCAAACACCGACAGTCTATCTTTATCCTGTTTTCTCAATGGCCAAGATTCTGCGCCGTATAGCAGAACTGGCAGAACTGCTGCGGCATACACTCGACTCTTCACAAGACAACCGGATGTCGCGACGGCGCCACAGATGTCTCAAGTTGGCAAATGCCAACCGAGCGTTCTGTATGCGAGCAGACACTTCATCCGTAATGCCTCCACCGGGTGAGATGCACCTGCCCAAATAACAAAACTTATCTACTTGCTCTATTACTTCTCCAGTTAGAGTGAGGCTCGGTGCTGGACCGACCTAGTCTTGTAGTAAAATTTTAAACTCTGAAGGTGCGAAACGCATATCAAACCTGGTTATTCTAGCACTCAAACTATCCAGAAAAGCTTGCAACTTAAGTGAACCTTCACTTAGTTGCACAATGTCGTTTGCATACTCTAGATCAGACAGCCTGTCACTTGGGAGTAAATCGATGCCACTTTCGTCCCATCCGGTTCTGCGGGGGTCCAGCAGGGCAGCCGAGGTCGACGAGATCCGTCGTTTGTATTTTGAACCAACACCGGGGTCCGACATTGTTTTTAATGATATTTGCATAGCTTCCAGTGTTCACTGAGTCCGTTGACTGGTGGCTGAACTGACAGGCGATCGGAGAGCTCCGCTTCAAAGGCCGATTTGCAGCCATCGCGGTCACTGTATCGTGGGTATCAGTTGTCAGTGGCCTTTCTGCCGTTGTTTGCCAGGTGTAGGGAGAATTTGGATGGTAACAAGACGTGGTCTGTATCCACAGCTGTTGACCAGTAAGAGCGGCAGACTCGAATTGATTCCCTCCAGTGGTAACTGATGGCAACGTGGTCGATTTGGGTCCAGCGTTGTGAAGAGATTGGCGGTTTCCATGTGAGACGGTGACGTTTCTAGTGTGTGAAGTTCGTATTTGACAAGAACAATCCGTGGTCCGCGCAGAGTTGAAGTAGGCGACCTTCGCTGTCCGTCCGGTCGTCTGGGAGTGCATGCGGTCTGCCAAGAAGCCTTTCTGATTCGTTCAGGGATCCCACTTGAGCACTGAAGTCTCCGGCGACTACTAAGACGTCCATTGACTGAACACTTTGGAGTAATTGAGAAAGATCCTTGTAGAATTCATCCTTGATTTCAGATGTACTGCAATCGGTCGGTGAGTACGCCGATACGACGAACAAGCATCGAAGCTTCATTCTGTAGCTGTTGACCCGTGTTGAACCGTTGAGACGCATAGCGCACAATCCGCTACTGACTGGAATCCAGTCAAGAAGCGAGCGCTCCGCCTTGGCACTTAGCGCCATCCCGACACCAGCAACACCACGAGCTTCGGATGCCGAATCGCCTGGCACCGATTAACCCATGCTTTGTTAGACAATGTTTATTCCATCACATTCATTCACAAGTACGATAAACCAATCAACGCCAAACCTATTTCCTCATTAGCTAAGAAAGATGTCTACATAGAACTACCTTTCAAGGGAGATGATGTGACAAAAGATATCTCGTCGTACAACACGCCGTGGAAAGAATGTACAATGCCGCAAGACTAATGAATGTCTACAAGACGCTTCGTTGTTTCACTCGCACCAATCTGGATCGAAGACGTTAGTGTTAGCTCCAACTGTATCCATTCATTTCAACGTACATGCGGTCAGCGGTATATCGGAAAGACAGAACGCCGCTTATCAACCAGAATGTGCGAACATATTCCAAAACACCTTGGTCTTCGCAGAGGGAAACTACCATCTAGTGCAGTTGCCCGACATTTGTTAGACTCCGGTCACCATGTAGACGCACCGAAAACGTTTTAAGTCATTGCGAGACCTCGAAGTTCACTGACGTTGCGATTTTTCGAAGCAATAATTATCCACCGCAATTATATGTTCAAAAACCTTAGTGACGCAACTGTTGTTGCCGTGGTAATGATGATGTCACACTTGATATCATCCTACCATAGTGTGTGACATGACCTTCTCTCCCCCTCCCTAGTTCACCACATTCATAGCATTGTTTGGATCAGTTCACCTCCATATCAAATTTTGACCTCAACCCCTAACCAAACACAAATCAAGCAACTCACTTGTCCAACACCTTGTTCAAATGACTAATTTCTAATCTTATGTTAATTCGTTTTACATAATCATATATATGTGGGCTTACAGTTGAATGAGAGTATGCGAAATTGATGGCCAATATCAATTCTGCCCACATATGTTTTCTAGTGTTGATGAAATGGATAAAGGGAAAAGGATGTTTTACGTATGGTGATCTGTTTGGCAGTCTGAATCAGACACGTGCGAAATATAATAATAATAATTATTATTATTATTATATTATTAACAATATAAGGCCATTGCTCCTACTTACCTATAGAATTCACTGTACCATTGCGCAGCTGCTCCTTGTGAGGTGTAGTGAGATCCCAACAGGTGAATAGCCAAAGTTACACTAAAGCTTACGGGTTTCTTTTCACCCGAATTCACCGCAGAGAGCAGTAGTTAACAGGATCATCTCTCTTTTATTTTCAACTTTGTAGTACATATGATGATGGAAACAACCCACGACAAATAAAGGTTGAGTTGAAACTTGCCAGTTTATGCCAATCTACGGTGCCCCTGTGCTTTTCGGTGATGTCAAAGTTGAGTGAATGTGCTACAGTTATCCAGTTAGTGTTGCTACACGATGCAGAAACTTATATTAAGGGAACTAGGTTAGCACATTATTTGAATTCCACTGCCTGTGCCACATAGGACGCATTTGACCTCATGGTTTGGGATCTGGTGACAGCGATAAAAACTCGATAGGCGTTGGCTGAAAACTTACCATGTAGACTTTGGTATCTCGATAGAGTTCAGCCAGAATCGGTTCAGCGGTATTCAATAGTTCTAGCATATGTTTCAAATGGTCAACATTCCCTGCATCTGATTCGGAGATTACCAAAAACGGCTCCAACTCGGGTTCCGGTTTTGATTCTTCAGTTTCCTCAGCTGTTTGCGGTGGTTTCAATCCAGGAAGAGACTGGCGAGTGAACTTGCATGCCTGACAGAACGAGAATCAACGATTGTGGGATCACTTTTCATTACATGCACCAAACCACAAACTGATCAGAACTGGCTAACAGGCAAGAACAACAGGTGCAATTATCAACACAGTTCATCACTTGTGATAGAGCATGTGGATCGAATGCGTTTTATTTATGACGGATTACGTAAATGTTGTGCAATGACAGTTGCAAGATAATCAGAAACAGAAGCTGTCCTAATCTGGTCGTGTGACTGGTGACGGATTACCTGAACTAATCTGCTTCACTCTGTAAAAAAAAAGCGTATTATCTCAAACAATCTATGTTGCGAGGGGTGAGAAACCATTACCACCATCACCGCGCAGCGAAACACGATGATGTCAATGCAGCCTGATCAAGTGTCGATCGTACCGAGTTCACGCGATTGGTAGTGATATTCCAAAAATATATTGCAGTCAGAGCCATATCTTATTCATGACTTGAAACGCTCAAACAGTTATTCGGAAACTGTTGACAAAATATACGCCATCGAAGCCAACCAAAATAAGGATTTTAACAATTCCTCTGAAGGAAGTTTACATCACCGTCCCCCTTAGAGGTAAATACCGACCGGGGGGATTGCAGAACCTTTGGCAGCGGTCAGTGAAGTTCGCTTTACTGTATTTCACTGCACGATGATGATTGCGGAATTGAGGATTGTCCTTCGACTCCTTATAATGGAACGGTGAAATGCATTCGTCCTGATCTCGGTCAACTCAACGGTAGCGGACATGCTGTTGTATAAACTAAAGATCATTTATAGCGAACTAGAGATGTTTTAAAAAAAGGAATTAAGTGCTTTTTGGTTATAGCTAAGGTGAATGAAATTTAGCATGACTGTGCATAAAAAGGAAATCTTTGTCTTCCTCGCTTTGCATCAATCACTACATCCTCAACTGCCACCCGTTTTCTTTCCACTGACCTTTCCTAACAACCTCACAGATCATCCACCGCAAGTGGTTTACGTGTCTTGTGTGACATTATTTCTCTTTTTCTACATCACAACGCTAACCAAAATGACCATTGACGAATTCCTTTCACCAGTGTCATTTTTCACCCAATACCGGTTGAAGTCAAGTACCTAATTTATATCATCCAGAAGGGAATATTCAGCAGCGTGTCATTCGGCCTTCCAAAGGCCGAAAGACTCTACCATTGGCTATTGTTGATGCTCCCCTGCCTGTTACTGTTAACCAATAAGCTGTGTCCAGTCGATCAACTGTTTGCATTATCCTACAGATGGGATATACGAAAAGAAATTTCTTCGAGTTTGTTTTACTACTACCAGAAATTGTTTTCGGACCACAACTAATTCACACTTGGGAATAGAAGACTACGAATGATTTAGCAAAGTGGCAAGGATGTCGAAACGATCGTGTACTTCTGGAAAATTTTGTCCATTTCATTCCAATTCAACGTGACAGTTTCTCAACTCAAATTTGGAGTGGTATAAAAGCAGATAATAATAAATTTCACAGTTGGCGCAAGACCGCAAATCAACCAATGGACGAGGATGAGATCATCGTGGGAACCAGTTAGATAATCGAAAAACAGCGAACAGATGGAATTGGCCAATTCGATGAGAAGACCAC